AGTTGTGGAGGGAGTGGAGGTGGGGGTCGTCGTCCTCGTTGAGGTCGAGGATGTAGTCGGCCAGCGCGTTGGGTCGGAGCGCGCTGTAGAGGATGCCGCACATGCCCACGCACTCCAATCCCCACGCCAGCATGTGCGAGTACACGTTGGAGAAGCAGTAGTAGAACGACAGCACCCACAGCAGCAACCTGAACGACACAACACGTACCATGAACACGTCAGAACGACACACGCGCGCATGCACCGCCGCACACACGCACACGACGTCAGAAAAAAAGAGAGAAGAGAGAGTAGATACCCCATGAGGAGGAACTGGACGCCGACGGCGGACATGGCGCCCCACCGCATGCGTTCGTAGGTGGCCCAGAAGTAGAGGAGGATGCCGGGCACCAGGCACACCGACGGAGCCACCAGAATCCACCGCGAGACCTGCGGTGCACGGAAGCGAGAAGAACGCGAAAGAGTGAGATGACGCCTTGGCTGAGAGACACCACCCCCGGCAGCACTCCTCCAAAAAGGCTCCGCGGTGGGCGGAGGGAGCGGGAGAGCGAACCTCGCAGGAGGCGTCGTCCTTGGGGATGTCGGAGTAGGCCAGCGAGTAGAGGAAGATGAAGACGCCGATGGCCACCACGAAAGTGGGCAGGAGGGACAGGATAAGGCCGAACCTGCGGTATATAGTCACATACATCAATACGTGAATATATAAATATAAATAGAGCGAAGGCGGCGGCGCATGGCGTACCGATAGTGGAACTTGGTGCCGAACTGGCGCTTGGAGAGGAGGCGCGTGACCGGGCGGAACTGGAGGAAGTAGATGAACTTGTACAGCAAGAGCAGCATGATCACGTTCGTGAACAGAACATAGGCCGATTCTGTGTGCGTAGGAAGTAAGAAGTGGCACGTAGCGATGATAAGTTACGTAGGACCACAGCACCGCACGCGCGGCTGAGAAACCGCAGAGCACGAGCGACATGCGTGTACCCTTGACCGACGTGATGAGCTGCGCATGCGAAAGGGCGTCGTTGACGTTGACGGGGAAGTCGAGGGAGAGATCGCTTTCCCACATTCCCAGCGCCGAGAGGATGGACCACGCGGTAGCCAGTGCCAACAGACACGTACCCACATAGCCGCCTTTCCAATCCAACCAATCGTGTGGTGTGTGTGTCGTGTGTGTCGTGTGTGTGTTTAGTGTTCGGGGAGCAACACACCAACAGTGCGTTACAAGTGTGGCGACGAGATTTAAAAAAGCGACACCTTCTTTCATGCCCGAGTAGCGCTTGCCCAGGGAGGGAAGAATCGCGATGGGCACGATCGTCGTCATCATGCCGCCTGTTTCGGTTTGCGTGGAGGGTCAGTCCCGCCCCATCTCACCCCAACGAATAATGAGGGATCCACTGTGGCCGTGTGGCTGTGTGGCTGTGTGGCGCTGGTGACGGAGCTTAGCGAGACGAGGAGGAGGAGGAGTACCGAAGAAGTTGGCCCAGTGGTTCTCCTTGAGAGCGATGAGGGTCGCGAACGAGACCCCGCCCTGCGTCTTGTAGGGCGGGAGCGGGAGACGCGGGAAGGAGTCGTGGTCTTGGCCGAGACTGCCCCGGCGGCTACGACTCCCACATTGGTCGGAGGTCGGGGACGCGGGCTGCGCGAGTCCGTCCTCGCCCGAAGTCGTTGCGGTGAGACCGACCAGTTCTTCCGGGCCACGTTGAACAGGGAGGCCTGCAGCGTGAGGTCCTGACGCTCTTCCATCCGCTTCCTATGATAGACGCCCCGAGGAACTGAGTTGCCCAGAATCCCACGACACACACGACACACACGACACACACGACACACACACAATCACACAACACACACAACGCGTTCACTATATAGTACTTCTGGTAGAGTCGCA